AATAATCTATAACTTATCAAGGGTTTTGAGGGAGGGAGGGGGGGTGGGGTAGGGAGGGGGAAGAAATGGGGAGCGGGTATCAGGAACAGAATGACACACTGGAGTAATGTATGGATTGTGATGAGATGTAAGAGCCCCCAATAATAGTCTTTTTAGAAAAAAAGTAGTATGAGTGACAGCCATTTAACTAGCCAAGTCTGAATGAAGCGCTTGCTTTGGGCTAGAAGCGGAGCCAGAGGGTGCTAAGGAGCACTTGCTGGAATGAGCCAGCACGTGCGTACTTACGTTGGCCCTTGTAACTTGAGTCTGAGGATCGATCAGCCTGAAATTTTGAGAGATTAGTTAGATCACGAAGGTTGGATAAACTTAAGATTCTTAGGGGACTCTGTGGAAGCTCTTGGTGAAATCACACTGGTGGCCCCTTGAACGTGCCGATGGAAGCACCTGGGTGAGGGTGAGGCAAGAAGGCTGCAGGGGGCCGCCCATGGGGAGCCGCACCACGGCCCTGGGTTGGCTGACCCGTGCACGAAAGCTCGGGCGGGGTGTTTTAAACAGGAGACTGCGCAAATATTAGAACGGATTTTGCTCCATGTGTACCCCGGTGGCGCTGAGCTGGAAACTGCAAGGACAGCAGTTGGAAACCACTCTGACTCTGGTCCCATCGTGTCAGCCTCAGAAACCCACAGGGGCAGTTCTGCTCTGTCCCCCGGCGCTGCTGTGAGATGGAATCCATTCGGCGGCCGAGAGGGGGTCGAGTCTGTGCTTACGAAGAAGCGAGAGCATTTTAACTCTCCACAGCTCTGCGGTCTCACGTGGACAGGCCAGCTTCCGCCTCCGTGTCCACAAGTACTCACGGGCGCTTGGTGCTCCCTCTCAAGTGCTGCCTCAACCCTCTCTTCTGGATTCAGCACTCTCGATTTCAATTACTGGGGAGGGGTGAGAGGCTGATGAAGGCATTTTGCTGAAACGGTCCAAAATTATGTCTGTTTAGTGCAGGTGGACTGGTGTTCACTCCTCTCCCCCAACCCATGGCAGCAGCCAGGAAGCTGCCGTACCTACGGACCTGTCTAGTCTCGGTATTTCCCACAAACAGAACCACACACTACGACGCCTTCTGTGCTTGGCTTTTTTGACTTAACGTGGTATTTGCAAGGCTCCTCCATATCCTGGCATGGCTCAGTGCGTCATTCCTTCTTCCGACTGAGGGAGATTCCCGAGTAATGGATAGACCACGCTCTGCTCATGCATTTCTTGACGGACATGGGGGCTGTGTGTCCATCTTCTGTAACTAGTGCGGCCTCGCACACCTGTGCAACAGTGCTGGTTTGAACGCCCGTTGTTAGGTCTTTGGGCCTCAGAAAGCTGACAAACAAGCAACCTCACTGCCACGGAGTCCGTGCTGACTCAGAGCGAGCCTACAGGACGGAGCAGAACTGCCCTGTGGGTTTCTGAGTAAGTGACTCTTGGCGGGAATGGGGCGCCCCAACTCTCTCCCTTGGAGGGGAGCTGATTTCGAATTGCTGACCCTGCAGCTAGCAGCTCAACGTAGAACCACAATTCTGGGTTTAACTTTTTGAAGACCCCTGAACGGTTTCCAATTTTACGTCCCTACCACCAACAGATGGGGTCCCATTGCTCCACATCTTGCTACCACTTGTCACTTTCTGGCTTGGGACTGGTTACCCTCGTGGGTGTGGAGGGGCAGCTGAGCGTGGCTGCGACGTGTCTTTCCTGCGTGAATGGCTGGCAGGGACACGTGGTGATGCCGAAGGCAACGGCCCGGGCTGTACCTCAGGGTCTGGCTGGTTACCATCAGGTGGGATTCGGTCGTGCGGAAGATGTTGTGGATGGCCCGGGCTGCCAGGACTTGTCTCATGGCTTCGTAGATCACTTCCGTGGTGCTGTCTGTCCTCACGGCCATGGACCCCAAAAACCGCACAATGAACATCTGCTGCAGCAGAGAATCTGCAAGAGACCGCCGTCTGCTCAGACCCCGCCGTCCTGCCTGTTGTGGGTGTGTACCTGTGCCAGGTATGCGGGTCTGAGCAGAGAAGCGGGAGGGGCGGTCTGCTTGCTTCCTAAGGAGGTCTTTCCTAAGGAATTCCCCCCTAAGGACTTTTCTAAAGAGAATGATTTCCTTGGACCAGAAAGGCAACCTTGTCCTCACCTCTGAGGGGAGAAAGCAAGATGGCAGGGCCACCCGAGCACCCTTTCAGCACTAAGGCTCCAGGCGACTACCTGGATGACCCTCTATCTTACCTCTTCTCTGATGCGAAGGACTTTTCTCCAGCCTAGCGACTGGCCACAGACCTGTCACTTCTTTGCCTCATTCATTAAGTCCTCTTATAAAAAAAAATGCTTTTGCAGAAAGTAAAACCTGCCATTGGGTCTCATTCAATGTATGCACATTACCACACATGGGCAGTGATGGTTTATAAGCTCTCAGAGTGCTCTGCCCACTGCCATCATGAAAGCATGAGATCCAGTGGGGGCCTGGCAGTGCCAAATAAGCCGACTAAATTTGGTGAGATAGTTAAAATTTATTGTGCCAACCTGGCCAATAAACGCATGTGGGATTAATTGAAGGGCGGAGAGATAAATGGCTCAGTGAGCCTCACCTTTCTAGTTTTCAGATCTCTTGCTCTTTGATGGTAGGACCAGGGTGCAGCTGCCTTAACCAGTTCCCTGCTTCAGCTGGCAGGGTTCACTTCCTGTGAGACCTCCCTGAGGAGAAGCCACAGCACCTACCCTGGGTGCTGTGTGGAGACCCCTGCCAGCGCTGAATGCTTACACATTCAGACTCGGCTTTCCTCCTGCAGTTGGCGTCACTGCGTGCTTTGTGAGATTGAGGACGACTTTGTGGATCGGTGTCGGACATATGTGCTTGGACAACACTCTCTCTTGTATACATACATGAGTTTCTGGGGATTTGTTTCCCTCGTTACCCAAACTGACACGCTTCGTGACCACAACATCCCTGGCCTGATCCTCCCTTTGGCGCACGCGGCCATCAGTGGGCACTTCCACACTCAGGCAGACTTCTGATGAGCCCATCTGACTCTGCTGGGTCCCTAATGTGTTCAGATGACTCGAGAGTCGACCACATATAGGTGGAGCACCCAGACTGGAGGCAGGACTCACATGAACATTGTGCACAGTTTCCCCCATTGCTGTGAGGCCACAGGGCCAGCTCTCGTTTCGTCTTGAAATCAAAGTAAGCAGAGCACAATTCACTCCGATGCCCTCAGGCCCCCGCAATGAAGGTGTATCCAAGTGAATCTTCCCAGAGCTTCTGGCTACTCAGCTGCCTTGGCCGGGAATAGGCTGTGCTCAGAGGGCCCTGTGTACGTGTAAGAATGTAGCTCAGACAGCAGGCGCTGAGCGACTTGAACTCCGGTGAGTCATGGCCTCGTCAAGTGCAAGAATGAGCTATTGTCTGCAGTCTTGGTCTCCTACTGAGAGACCCACCTTCACAGCTCACCACCAGGACTGCACTTCTTCTTGAGACATCTCGTCCTCTTTCATCTGCCTTCTGCAGTAACAGGACCTCGGGATTTGATTGGGCAACCTTTCTCTCAAGGAGTTACAATGTGTATGGGCTCTATTTGGAGGGAGCCCGGGGGCTGGGGTGGGAAACCTTGTTGCTTTCCCTGGTGTTTTCCTGAGAACACCGCACCTGTGGGGCATCATTTCAATGCAGGCTCTGGGTGTTGTTTCAGCGCTGGCTGCCGTGCTGTACAGACCGGCCCCTTACCTTCAGCTTCTGGAAATGCTTCCTCCTCAGTTTCACCGAATGGGTTGATCCGCCTAGGAGGGGAGGGGGGGGGGCAGCCAGAGTCACCTCGTCAGGGCAGTCGCTTACATGGCGCCCGACCCCTGGGGCTGGCAGTCCCAGGGCAGCAGTCTTTAAGAAGACAAGCCTGATCGCATTTCCAGGAGACACCAAGTCTGCACTCCCGGCTCCCTGGGCCTTACCTGCTGCCTCTGTTCTGATCCAGGAACTCTGTGGCGGGAAGCACAATGTCAAACTGGATCGGGGTTCCTGGGGCAATCAGCTGTTCCGCTTCAGGAGCACCAGCCGCGGCTTTGGGCGAGATCTTGTCATTTTCTGTTTCCGAGTGTCTCACGCTCTGACTAGAGTGCAGAAGAAGAGAAAATCCAACCAACAAATCTCTCTCACCCTTACTCCTTCTAATGACACCTCTGTATCTTAAACGCTAGTGCAACGTTTACAGATAAAAGTCAAAGGGAGATGGTTTCAGCCAGTTCCCCAATCCATTCTGCAAGTAATCTCACTGCCGTCCAGTCAATGCTGACTCAGAGCTGACCCTGGAAGGTTGCCCCAAGTCAGTATTGATTAGATGGCAGTGAACAGAAAGCCTCATCTTTCTCCTACAGAGCTGTCGGCGGTTTCAAACCACTGACCTTGCATAGCGCAGCCTAATGCATAACCACTATGCCCCCAGGACTCCTCTGCTAATAAAGCAAAGGGAAAATGCCATCAAGACAGGAGGGGGGCTTCCTGAACTAGACCCTCAAGCAGCCATCAAAACCAGCGCAAAGCTGCGTGAGCACAGCCAGCAGAGGGCAGGAGAGCAAACCCACGGCAGCGTCCTATGGAGCCAAACATAAACGCTGGGACAGAGTTATTAAAGGAACAATTAAGGCAACTGTAGCCATAGGAAGAAACATGTACAAATACAACATAAATATGCATACGAAAAAAAATCACTGTGTGCAGGCTAGGCCTGGGCAGTACCAGGCCCCCATGTGTGGTCTGTCCCTGGCAGAGCTGTGATGCTGGCCTGGCGGGGGCAGGGAGCACTGACTAGACGCCCCCGACTGGAGTCAATGGGTCTGGGACCTGGCTCTGCCCGTCCCTGGCCAGGCAAAGCCAGGGGGCTCTCTCCCGTTCCTGGCCGTGGGCAGTGTTTCTGGGCTGGGTTGGGGGTGTGTGAAAGAGCAGCTGTGTTCAAGTCCTACGCAGCCCCAGCTGCACACAAGCTAGCTGTCCCTTGGCCCGTAATTACCTGGGGGACGTGCTTCCTGCTTTTTTCCCGAAGCTTGTGACGGGCGTCACGGCTTCCAGCGCCGTCTGGTTCAACTTGAGGGCCACGGCCTGAGAAGCCACGGGAGGCGCATGCTCAGTCCCGGAGCGGGCCCTGACGGACCGTCCGGAGGGAAGGGGAAAGGGAGAGGCAGGCGGGCGGAGGTTACCTCCGGGTTATCCGTCAGGTAGATCTGTCTGGAGATGTTGTTTATGGCGCAGATCCACTGGGGGGACACGGCGAGAACGCAGTGAGCCCAGGCCCGTCCGCTGGGCCGGGCCAGGAGGGGAACGGATGAAGGAGGGAAGGAAGGAAGGAAGGAGGGCAAGCTTTACCTCCTCGTTCTCCTTTCTGCTCTCTGCCTGGAGCGTGATTCCCCTGGAAGGACATGCGGCAGTGAGTGCTCCTGAGCCCACAGCAGCCGCGCTCAGGTGGGGGCCGCAGGGGAGGCAGCGTGAACATGGCCCCCCACTTCTGGGTGCACCGTGGACAAAGCCTGTCAGCTTCCTCCCGTACAAAGGGAGAAAGGGGTGGGGGTGGGGGTCCTGAGCTAGCACAGGTGTGGCTCTGAAGTGCAGTTGAAAATGAACACTATTATCGTTTCGTTTACAGGGTATTATTCAGAGAGGGGAGATTTCATTTGTGAAACTATGCTTATGGCTCTCGAATGATTTCTAATTGGTTGTGAGGGGCAAGATAGCTCTCCTGTCTGTGAAGTTTCCCGGCCCCTGCTCTAGCCTAAAGTGGACTCCGTAGCCAGGCCCATCCTCACTGACCCCAGGGGATTTTCCAAAACCCTGTGGAGGCTTAACCAAGACAGGGTGGACTCCACAGGGTCTGCGTGCACTTGCTTACAAGCACAGGCACCAGGCTCCTGGAGGTTCCCTGGTCTCCAGGCAGAGCTGGTGCAGAAATCCCTGGGCACTTGTCCCCCCAAAGCCGTCCCGTAAGACGTACGATTTTCCGTTAGGGGTGGTGATCTGGAAGCAGTATCGCCGGTCCTCGCAGTCCACTGCCATCACTGAGCAGTTGTCCAGGTCCTGGATCAAGCCCCCCGCCACGGCGCCCCTGGGCTGACACATGAGGTTCCCGCCTTGGGTGAAGAAGTACAGTCGCTCCCAGGTGGTGGTGACCAGCCCTGTTTTACTGAAGGCATCGGGTGGAGAAAAAGCTGTTAGCACGAGGCCTGCTGCCTGGTCCTGGGGTGCGGGGGCATGCTGGCAAGGTGCTTCTTCATGCGAAAGGGAAGCAGCCTTGAGAACCACTAACAGGGCAGCAGAAGTGGCCTGCCTTAGCCTGAGCGACCTGGGAGATGATGTGGGGTGTGCCAGTCCGGGCCCAGCACCAGACAGGCCAGCCGCCCGCCTGAGCTGGGTCAAGGCCATCCCACGAGGAGCAGCCGCCCCCCTGAAGGGCACTGGCTTCTCAAAGACAGGATCCGGACTGCTCTGATTCTAGATTGCCACCAGGGGCACTTGGGCCCACAGCGCTCGCCCCAGATCCTACTTTGTTCCACTGGAGAGGATGCTTGTTCCGTATGTAGGCTGCTGACAGGAGGGGAATTCTGTCACTGGCCCAGGAAACCTGCCCCTACATAGCTCTAGGGCAGCAGCTCTCAACCTGTGGGTCGCGACCCCTTTGGGGGTCGAATGATCCTTTCACAGGGAGGGGTCGCCCGATTCATCACAGCAGCAAAATGACAGTGATGAAGCAGCAACGAAAATAATTTCATGGCTGGGGGGTCACCACCACATGAGGACCTGTATGAAAGGGTCGCAGCATGAGGAAGGTTGAGGACCACCGCTCCAGGGGAGCCCTTGGCTTGTGGGCTCCTAAGTTTATAGACTTTGTGGTGCTCCACACTCTGGTAAGGTCTTCTCCAAGTCTCCTGAACTGGAGGGTTCCCACTATGTGCCCGGATGTGTCTCTTGTACAAACGACCCTGTCTGGCACTGGGTCTCCTGCTCCTCTAACTACAAGCCTTTAAAAGTACGGGCCAGCTAAGTCGGAGTGCTTCTGCCTGCTGGGAATGAATGTATGACAGAAGTGCAACTGCGAGCTCCACTGCACGGATGCAGAAACCCAGGCCACCCCAGCCGAGGGCCCGGCACCGACGTCGGCGCCTTCACCGCCTGTCTCAGGTTCCCTCTCTGCTTCCAAGAGCAACGACACGGGCCATCCCTTTCTTTCAAAATGGGCATCTGAAGACAAGCGTGTCATGTATGTGACCCTTCCTGTGTGGCTCTCAGTCCATCTGGAAGCTTCTGGCCCTGAGACCCTTGCCCTGGTGGTGGGTCCTCACTGCACTGCCCTCTGGTCCCAGAGGACAGCAGCTAGGGGTGGCTATTTACACCTGGCCAGGGAGCACCAGGACAGGGAGCCTGCAGTGTCCCGCCGTCCACGGGCCTGGGGACTTCTGCAGGCCTGTGTCTCTGGGGCCCCAGGCCCCCAGTGTTCGGGCAGGCGTGGTGCTGGGCTGCACTGGCTTCCCCGCCTGCCCCCACACCCTCAAGCTTTCAGGGGGCTGGGGAGCTGCTTTGGGAAGAGGCTGCAGTGCCATCTCACTTTCTGAGGTTCAGGTAGCCAGCCTTCTGGATGAGGTTCCGGTTGATCTGTGGCGCGGCGACGTCAGAGTCTGGGGTGTAGGCGGACTCATCCACAGAGAGCAGCTCTTGCTGGGACACCCGCATCTTTTCGGCTTCGGCTTCCAGCTCTACCTGGATGCTTGAGACAGGAGGAGCCGGGTCGGCTAAGAAGCAGTGGGCAAAACCATTCCCCTGCCTGTGCTCCCCCTAGGCGGAACAGCCCTGGGGGCTGAGCGAGGCGGCTGGGGGCGGATAGATGGGGCTGCTACCCTCTGTTCCCTAACTTAGGTCCCCTCCTCCTCGCGCATTACTGGAAGCATTTCCTTAATTGCTGATCTTAGGGAACACCGCAGGATATGCAGGAAGCCGGCTACACAGCGAAGCAGCTGACAATGTGCTACCCGTGCCCGGACTGCTCACGCAGATGACAGGTGAGAAACGCCCGAGGCGACCCTCAATTGCCACTACCCACCTCTCCGTCTCGGCAGAGTAGGGGAGCCAGCCCCGGAGAGAGAGGAAAGACCAGGATGTGATCAGAACATGCAGCCACAAAGCTGAGGGCACCGCGTGTCCCCTGACAAGGCTCAGACTGCAGGGGCCGGGGAAGTGGGCCACTGTCCAGGTTCAGGGGATGCTAGCCCCTGGCTCTCGTGTGGAAAACCTGGAAGCTTTGGGCCTGAGATAGCAGCTGCCCTTTCCACACCACATGCGGCCCACTGGCTGGCCCACCCGGGGCAGTCGTGGGGGAGGGGGATAAAGCCCCGAGGACAATCTGCCTTAGGTGACCCCTCCCTGTGGCCTCCCGCCCCACATCACAAGAGCTCAGACAGAAGCTGGACGGAGCCTCGGGGCCACCCGTCCACCGGTGACCTCCAAGGGAGCTCACTGGAGTTTTCTCTCGGGGTTCTGTGGCAGGGAAGTGTGGACTGGTGCGTGGCGAAATTCTCTCGGAAACCCCACGTTATGGTCTGTATCCCATTGAAGCCTCCTCGATTTGGGCCAGCAGGCATTTCTGACACTGGTAGGGAGGCTGGGGACCCCTGGGAGCACTGGAGAGCGGCTCTCTGGGCACACTGGCCTGGGAACGTGCACTCTGACACGCAGCCTGTACAGTTGAAGGGGCTGAGCCCCCCACAGGGCAGCATGGCAGAGATGGCTGCTCCTCCATCCTGAACCACCAACATCCATACTGGGGCAGCTCAGGTGGGGGCGGGGCCACCTCTGTGCCACCCTCAGGCTTACCGCCTCCCACACCCACCTGCCCCCACTCAGCAAAGGGCAGCTTTACCTTTGCACCATGTCTGCAGTGGAGGATAATAAGCCATCCATATTTCTGGAAAACATCTCTGCTCCCTTCTTAAAGAAATTAATCTGAAAGATACAAATGTGAGTGGAAGTGAGTATCATCTTACAGACATAATCCACGAATCCATTTGCTGGGCAGGTGGGCGCTGCTGCACCTCCACCAGGCTCCACCCCCGTCACTCCCACCATCATTGCTGGCAGCTGTTAGGCACCAAGGCAAGGGGCTGGGGACCATGACACCCCGCTACTAGCTCACTGAGAGCCTGCTAGTGTCAGGAATAACATCTAAGTTATTTCTGGGCGTACACCAGGTCCCTCACTAGTTGCTGGGGTGAGGGAGTGTGATAGGTAGGTTTATTGTGCCAACCTGGCCAGTAGGAACATGTGGGATTAATCAGGTCTCAGTTTGATTGGAGGGCAAAGAGGTAAATGGCTTGGCAAGGCCTGCCCGTCTCTCTTGCTATCTGGTGATTGGACCAGTGTACTGCTGCTTTAGCTAGTTCTCTGCCTCACCTTGTGAGCTACACTACCTGTGAGACAAGTCAACTATGGAGCCTGTTGCTAGAGCTTGAGGTTCCATTGAGACCTGCTTTGCCGTGATGCTGGTGTGTACATCGCTTGAGCTGGTAGATCCTGTCGGCTTGAATTGCTTGAGTTCAATATCCCATCCGGGCCTGCTTCACTAAGCTTCTGAGCTGCTGACTGTTGCTGACCCAACCTGCTGTTTGCTGCCTGTGGCTGGACTGCCTGCATTGCCCAAGGGAAGACTCAGCTGTCTGCTTCCTTGACCTTGGACCCAACAGCCCTCGAGTTGAAGGACTTCCAGTGTATTAACTGTTCCATGGAAGCGAGTTGAACTCAGCCCTCTGTACTGCTGTGTGGACGAATTAGCTGTTGTATTCCTTTGTGCTCTATAAACCTATTCATATGCTGTGTAAACCTATCCATGATATAAATATAAAATGGTAAGTGTCCTTGTTTTGTTTCTCTAGAGAACCCTGCCTAACAAGTGTCGTGATGATGACCAGCTTTTGTTCTGGGTGGACTTAGGATGGTAAGTGCTCTGGAGGTTACGTGTCGTTCACCACCAGGCAACAGATGGCAGCCTTACACACAGCCCTGGCAAGACAAGCCTTGGGGCGGTGCAGCATGAGGTTCCCCCGGAGGCTTACCATCCTGCTCCCAAGGGGCTCAGAAAACAGTCGGGTGGGTGGGGACAGGCTGCGCAGGGGACAGGGAAAGCTGGGCTACGGATCCTCAGAAGTCTCAGAAGTCTCTGACCGCGCATCACTCGGGATCAAGTATCCAAAAAGGAGGCCTGGATGCGCAGTGGTGAGTGAGAGCGCTCCAGCACAAACACACTAATGGAAAGGTCAACGGCTTGAAGCTGCAGGGAGTTCCACAGGAGGAAGTTGTGCTGGCCTTGGAACCCCGGAGCAGTTCTACCAGGTCCAATCCCAATCAGGTGGCTGTGAGCTGGAAAGGGCTGGGCGGCAGTGGGTGTGACAGGAGGCAGGCTGCGTGGCCCACGCACGCGTAGGTTCTCAATCTAGCATCCTACAGCCACGCTGCACGGCACTTACCCCGGTGTACCACACGAGCCTTCACTTCTGTGTTCTCACAGACCTGTAGGGCAGCCCCTGCGCTACACACAGCTTCCCTTCCTGCCCGTCTTTATGTCAAATGTGTCTGTCAGTCGAAGAGTTGGTGCACTTTGTAGCTAACATCAGCTGGCCAAATATCTGTCTCAGTATATTGTGCACACTTGCATGCATAAAAAATGGAAAGGAAATCAGCTACATGTCCAACCACACTAAAACATCTTTAATGTGGCAATGCAGGAACAGTAATGTTTTGATGAGAAAACATTAGGTAATAGAGCCTACTTGTTACTGTCAAATCCTTGAATGCACCTCAACGTGCAAAGGGCCCGCAGGAAGGGCAGTGTCACCAGCCATCAGCTACGATGCCGGATGCCCCATAAGGCGGATTTAAAGGGCTAAGCAGTTCGACTCACCCAAGACTCATGGTGGTAGGAATGAAACGCACCCCCGCCCCCCCCATAAAAACAAAACAAAAAATAACACAAACAACGTGTCTAAGAAAAAGAACTGTCGTTTTCGCGAGGACTTAGAAATCCGCAGGGGAGCAAACCACTTGGTCTTGTGTCTTCGAAACCAGTTGTTTTTCAGATGAAAAACAGAAGGCAGCAATCTCGGTCCTTGACAATGAGACCACGGGCACTGAGAGGGGTGCTGGCATTGCTGAGCGAATCTCCAAGGCCCACAGGGCTCCAGGTGCACCAGGAGCAGCGCAGGGGTGAGCGAGGGCACAGCGGGGGGCACCGATGCCCAGCTGCACGGCTGTCAGGGTGGGCGGTGCTAGTTGGTGGTGCTCCTTGCTTGCACCCTGCTTCCCTCGAACCACCCAGGAAGATGATCTATGGGCATTTTCTGTCTGGGGGCACAAGGTAACTTTAATCTCTTGCTACTCCACAAAGTTACAAACACATTACAAAAGCTGACAACTGAACTCGGATGTGAAAAGGACCTGCTGTCTCTCCTGCCCCTGAACGAAATGATGGGTTTTGGAGCATGGGTTTTGAAATCAATTGTAAGGCTGATGCTCACATACATGGAAGGCCTTTTTAAAAGATGGGGTTTTTTGTTCCTTAACACCACTTTGCTCCCTCATGCCCCTTTGTGTTCTAAGATCCTGCACGGAGCGGATTCTAGGTGTATTCTTCCCAGGCCAGAGTGAGGTTCTGGAGTTAATGGAAGTGGAGGCAGGGCAGGGGTGGAGGGGACCAGGTGGTGCTATTAGCCTCACAGGCATGGTCATTTGGTCCCCTTCCTAAACCGGGGCCTCCCACAGGTCATCTAGTAGGGGAAGAACCCAAATAGATACCTGAGACTCCAGAAGACATCAAGTCACCGTGGCAAGGTGCTGGCAATTACAGCACCACCACCCCCCCCTCAAATGTTCATTTGAGAAAAATGTCGTTAAGGCTGATGCTTATGGTAAAACAGAAACAAAACACTCACCGCCACTGAGTCGATGCCCAATCGTGGCGAGCCTATAGGCCAGGTAGAGCCGCCCCTGTGAGTTCCTGAGACTCTCCAGCTCTTTATGGGAGTAGAAAGCCTTATCCTTCTCCCACAGAGACGCTGGTAGTTTCGAACTGCTGACTTTGTACTTGGCAGCCCAATGCATAGCCGCTAAGCCACCAGTGTTTTGGGTGCTGAGTGGCAAAGGCCCGTGCACAAACCGGGGCAGAAGCCCAGAGGCATCAACTGCAACAGTAAGCTCCTTCTGAGGAAAGTGGGCCAGGCCTGCCTTTCGATTGCATGGGGGTGAAAAAAGATGGGGGGCGGGGGGATGGGGACCGAATTGGCATGTAGGCCCTTCCCCCAGGGAAACGTGGGATGCAGACCGTCACTCCCTGAACACCAGGTGCAACAAGCCCAACTGAGGGCTGCCTAAGGGGCAGCTCCCCTAATGCTGAACCCCGGAACTTTCCCAGGAGTGTGTGCTTTCACCCAGGATGGCGCTTGAGCGTCACGGAAAGCGGTCAGGCTGGTCTCCCACCTGATCGAGGTCTCAGCCCTACCTGTCCGTGGGCAAAGCCCATCATGGGCTCCATCATGGCCACCCGCTTTCGGTACTGCAGTGCGTTGAGGGCGCAGTAGTACTGCAGGGAGGAGAGGTGCTGCTTCCGCCGTGCCGCCGCCACCTCTTTCACCACTTCCGACTTCACCTGGGGGGGAGGCGAGGGGGAGGGCTCACGCTGTTGAATGTTGGACACAGGTATGCAGGCGACCTCAAGACCAGCCTGCTTGGTCACGGTGGCCTTTTCCACGACAAACATAATAAAAGACGGGTAGAGGGCCACCTCCATTAGAAACCCCCCCAAATGAAAAGTTCTAGACCTGAGTCAAAAAAAAAAATCTATCAAAATTTTAACATGTTAGTGCTTGGGAGGCTGCCAGGAGGGAAGCCGAGGCTTCTGCTTGCAGATCCGCGAAGGGGTACAGTCCTTGAGGAAGCCAGGTGGCAGCAAGTCTGCACCGAAAGGCTTCAGCATTTTGGTTCACTCAGGAGACTCTATCACAAGAAATAAGTGGCCTGAGAAATTCATATACCAGAAGTAAGAAATTTATACATGAAAATACTCAACAGTATCTATGAAAGAAAAAGTTCTAGAGAGGGTGTGGTTTAAGGAATCAGAATCAACCCTAAAGGCCTGGAGCTTGGAAGCCCACGCGGCCCGGATGACAGATAACCCCTGAGTTAACCAGGAGCAAGTGGAAAGGTGGCAGACAAACTCGCTCGGATGGCTGTCAGTGATGGGGTGGAACGTCAATCACTAGGTAGTGAGACACGTTCCCGGGAAGGGAAAGCATTATGTTAGGAGCCTTTCCCTCAGGCATGGGGACACGCAGAGGGGTGGATCGTGAGAGTTACAGAGTACAATGGTAAATACCATTGTTTACACAAGCCTGCAGTATCAGTAAGACTACCAACAAGCAAACATGTGGGCCGAGCAGGCACGGGTAGGGGAATGAGACCACGGCCATGAGCAATACAGGTCTGGCAGCGGCAATTTCTCACAGGCAAGTATAAGTGCCATAGAAATAGATCCATCCGCACAGTGCAGGACGTGGGGGAGCCATAACCAACACTTGTAGAAATGCGTCACTGGGCTTGGGGGCTCAGGACCACCATAGTCTTGGGGGACTGCGAAGTCGAGCGGCCTAACATAATCCACAATATTCCACACCCGACTTGGGGTCTTAAGAACTAGCAAGCAGCCATCTAGGATGCAAACTGTTCATGTCTCACTGTCCAGAGGAACAAAGGGTAGAGAAGGTCAAGGTGGGAAAGCTCAAGGCTGGGAGTAGAAGAACTAGATGGTGTGTGGGAGTTACATCATCTGGTGTCAATTGGAGGGGATTAAGAGTGAAGGGGTGGGGTTTAGCCTGTCAATCAGGTCCGCGGCTAGATGACCTCATTTGGAGGCGCTAAGGAGATAAATAGCTCGCTGGAGGAGTGACACACATGCTCACTCTCTGCGAGACATTCCTGCTGACAAGCCACATGGAGCTATGCTGATGGCAGCCAGAGCCTTGAAGCTGCCGGAGCCACGTAGAGGCCCACGTCGGCACTAAGATGATCCACCGCCACTGGATCCACAAGACTGATCTTCCTGCACTCAGGCGGGACTGCATGTGTTGCGTGAGTGTGAAGAGGAATTTACAGACTGGTACTGGACACATCGGACTTAAGGACTTGATCTGGTCTGGGCTGGGATGTTTTCTTAATGTACAATTACTCTTCATATAAAGCTCTCTCTTACACATATAGGAGTATCTATGAATTTGTTTCTCTAGTCCACCCGGACTAACACATGGTGCCTGGCTAACACTCACACCGACCACTGTGGTCGGGAGGTACCAGGAGAAACACACAGATGGAAAGTCAGCCTCCTGAGGAAGACTCGGCTTATTCGTCTGCTACGGGCTGGTGGAAACACCAAGACTGTGGCCGGCCGGCCCTTACATGTCCATACAGACACACATGACCTGACCCCCAGGGATCACTCAGCAGCGGAACAGAGAGCCTGTAACGTGGGCGCTTCTGCTCAGTCCTAAAGGACCCTTCAGAGACTGAAAGGGCAGCACTTGTCCAGACTCGGAGTTCAGAAGGCAGGAAGGACAGGCAGACACTAGGAACTTCCCCAGGAAGGCGGAGGAAAGAGGTGGGACATTGAGGGCACCCCCACTGATGTTACCAAACAACAGGTGTTTACATTGCTCCAGGGAAAACAAATGTGGCTCTGTAAACGTTTACTCGACCCACAGTTAAACAAACGAAAAACAGCCACCGGGTGATTTTGAACTCCAAGTTTGGTTTCATAGGCACGTGTGGAAAGTTAGACTAGAGCAATCGAAGTCTGGATATGAGATTCAGAAGAACAAAGACCAGGTTCAGGGAAAACAGGAAAAAGAAATGCAAAACAACATCACGGCGGCCTCCATTCCAGGGACGTGCCACCGGAAGACGGGAACGGGCCTGAGGCGATGAGGAGAAAAGAACGGCAGTTGTTTGTACCTTTCCATTCTCCCTTCTCTTGGGCAGCCTGCTGTATTTGGCCATTGAGAGGTCATGCTCTGAAAACAAAGGGCATTTCAGCACCCGGGCAGGAACATCCCCAGAGCGGCACCACCCTATCCCACCCCACATGGGATTATTGCTGGTCGTCGGCCAGTCAACCCGGCTCTTGGTGACTCAGAGTCCCTGGGTGATGCAAATGGCCAAGTGCTGGAGGTTATACATTCAAACCCACCCAGAGGAGTGTTACAAGATAGGCCTCGTGATCTACTTTCAAAGCTGTGGGAACCCGATGCAGCTCTACTGTGCATGTGTGGGGCGCCAGGAGTCACCCCACATGCAGCCCAGGCGTGTGCACAGTAGGCCCGAGAAGGTGAGGCATACGTACCACTGCTGGCCAGTCCAAAGAGATCCTTCAAAGTGCTTACTTCTGAAAAGAGAAAAGAGAGCATCTTAGATCCGAAGGAGAACCAAACACGGCAACCGGTGCTTTGCTGATGCCCAGGCATGGCCAGGGAGGCCTGCCAACATGCCTGTCAGGCCCTCTGCTCTGCCAGGGCCTGGGTCAACTGGGGCTGGGGCTTCTACTGTGCCCCCCTCACTGACCCTGGGCCTCTGGGCCTATCGGCCAGCCTGCCCAGAGTTCGTCCCCCACCACAGTGCTCGGGTCTGTGAAAAGCCTGCCGATGACTGTTCTGCCTGGTCGTCAGCACTCTCCTGAGAAACTGAGAGGAAACTTAAGCTGTGATTCTTTAAAAAAACCTTTTAAAATTGGTTTATTTTTAACAGTTTCACCGGCATACTGCTCACACATCACAAAGTCAATCAGTTCAATCTTATTTGTAAGAGTTGTGCCACTATCACTGTTATCAAGTCCAGGACCTCCCTCCTGCTCCCCGCCCCATTTCCAGGTCTCCTCTGGAGGGACTTGGAGGAGGAGGCTGGGGAAGGGAGTGGTGAGCAAACAATAGCTATAGACAGAGGAACAACCAGGGAATTAAAATCAACAACCAGGAGGCGCAGAGATCCTGGGGGTGTTAGAGCAAGAACAATCTCGCTGAGAGGAATTACTAAGAGGCAGAAGAAAGGCAAGTGTGAGGGTGGGGCAGGAGGAAGGTAACAGGAAACAGGAAAGTTCTAGGAGGCAAAGCTATAGATAGAGGTATAAACATAGGTGTGCCATATATAAATACGTTAATAAAATAGAGGTATTGGCCTATGTACCTATTTTTATGGCAATAAACTGAGGTAGTGGACAGACTTCAGGCCTCTGCTCAAGCCCTGCCTCAATGCAAGAACACTTTGTTCTAACAACTTAACATTCTGTGATGCTCACCCTCCCAGCACGATCGCTGAAGACAAACACGGTGAAGAAAGCCAATAGTACCTGGCTATCAAAAGATCTAGCATCTGGGATCTTAAAGGCTTGAAGTTAAACAAATGGCCATCTAGCAGAGAAGCAATAAGCCCACATGGAAGAAGCACACCAGCCTGTGTGATCATGAGGTGTCAAAGGGATCGGGTAACAGGCATCAGAAGACCAGACACACACAAAACCATATTGTTGAGAATGAGGGGGGGATGCCGGAGCAGAGACCTAAAACCTATCTGCAGACAATGGGACATCCCCTCACAGAAGGGTCACAAGGAAGGAATGAGTCAATCAGGGTGCAGTAAAGCACCGATTTAACACACAATATTCCTCTGGCTCCTTGAGGCTTCCTCACCCTGACCCCCACCCTCCACTATCATGACCCCAGTCCTGCCTTTCATTGTGAGCTAGACTGGAGCATGTACACAGGTACAGATAAGAGATAAGAGCTCTCGACACACGGAATCCAGGAGCAGGAATGGCAGTAGGGATACCAGGAGGGTAGGGGGAAGATCGCAATGATGGACACATAGCCCCCCACCCCCAAGGGGACAAACAACAGAAACCATGGGGGAAGGGAGGTGGCGATCAGGGTAAGATATGAAAATAAGAATTTTTAATTTATCAAGGGGTCACGGGGTGGGGGGGAAGAGGGAAAAAAGAGGAGTTGATACCAAGGGTTCAAATAGAAAGGAGTGTTTCAATACATCTTTCCTCGGAAGGCCCTGCCTACCCCCACATTCAATGGTGTACAGAGGACCCACCCAGCAGGGAGCAGCATGATCAATGGAGAAAAGGTTGAGGTTGCCAAGGAGCTCTTGCTGCTTGGATCTACAGTCAACGCTCATGGAAGCAGCGGTCAAGGCATCACAAGATGTGCTGCATTAGGTCCACCTGCTGCACGGGGTCTCCTTACTTTGAGGACCAGGGTGCGCGGCCCCCCCCATGGTATTTCCCATCACCTCACACGCACGTGACAGGTGGGCAGGGAATAAAGAAGATTGAGGAGGAATGGATGATTCGAACTGCGGGGCAGGGAGAAGGCATGGGAAGTAGCAGGGAACACACAGGCGCGTCCGGGGGAAGTACGGTCAGAATGGGCATTAAGACAAGGATGGTGGGGCTGCAACTCACATCCTTGGGACACGTGCCAGGAACGAGCGGGCCCTGGAGAAGGAGGGGCAGCAAAGGGGAGGGCCTGGCACAGGGGCTGCCACAATGGGGCAGGCCCGGGGAGTCTCCTTCTGAACGAAACGGATGGCACCTAACACCACCACCCACGTTCCAGAAACGGCCTGTCCCTGCCATTGCTAACACCCTGCTGATTAACGGTGTCAGAGGTCAGGAAGAAGGGTCCTCAGTGGAGTGAATCTCCAGGGCAATCTAAAGGGGCGGGGGGAGGCAAGGAAGTAGAGTCCGTGTAGGAGACCACAGGCACAGATGCCTCGAGGGAGGGTTGTCACTTCCTACGATGCTCAAGCTAGTTTCTTTTATTTCGTTTTACAGTTTCATGTCCTCTAGGTGGTCTTTCAAACCGCCCCCCCACCCACCCACTTTTACACTGATTTCTCTTCCCATTCCCCTGGGCAGCTTTCTTCTTTCTCCTGGGGGCAGTGGGGGTGGTTGTGTGTGTGTGTGTCCCTCTTCCTATCAGAGCACAGCTCTCCACTTTCTCCCTCCTTGATTTTCAGCAGCATCCTTAATCCTCCCTGGGTTCTCCACCCCCGCCTGCGTAACCCATTTCAGTGGGTGAGTGTGGTGAAAAAGGCAGAATGCAAGACAGGCCACCACCGCTGCCTCAGCACGGTGTGTGTGCACGCCTGTGTGCTGGTCTAGCACAGTGTGTGTGTGTGTGTGTGTGTGTGTGGCGCACGCCTGTGTGCTAGTCCAGGTGGGCTCTGATGTCCACTAACGTACCGCCTACCCCAGCAACTTCAAATCTGTCTTGGTGTTACCAGATAGAAGAGTGATCATTTGATTAACTTCCTCGCAGATATGAAGAGGTTTCTTTATATGTTCATAAAGTTCCACACTCCCTGCAGCATCACCCCGAGCAGGCAGTAGGAGCCGCAGAGTCATGCGGGAGGAGGGAGGCCACTGCCGTGACTCAGGAGGCCCCTCTCTGCCCTCCCTCAGCAAGCCGGGAGGATGCGCACCTGACCAAGGTCTTGGGAGAGGATCAGTTTGTTTCTGATGAACTCGATGGGGCTTGTTTTTAGAGACAGGTGCTCATGTGTTTCTAATGACTTTCTAGGGAGCGTGTCCTTCCACTGCAGCTGCGACCTTTCCCTTTCCATTTACAGAGCGAAGGACTGAACAAAGCCCTGCATGGATTTTCCTTCAGGACCCCCGGGTGATCCCGACTCACAATGACCCTACAGGTCAGGGTAGACCTGCCCCTGGGGGTTTCCGAGTCTGGAACTCTTTACACCGGGGGCAGGTAGCCTCGCCTTTCTCTCTTGGAGTGGCCAGTGGTTTCGAACTGCTGATCATGTGCTTCGCAGCCCAAAGCAGTAGCCCCTCCAGCCAAGGGCTCTTTCCCCACAGTGAACTGATCTCTTCTGCATTCTTTACTTATCAAGCAGCCCTGGTGGGTGGGGTCATTCTGAGTCAGGACCGACCCCAGGGCAGTGAGGGGTTTGTGGGTTTTGAGTGTGTTGTCAATGCTGTCCTGGGGTGGAGTTTATGCCCGCCCTGGCACCGCCCCTAGAGCGATGGTTACAGAAGCACACCACACTCAAAAGTCCACTGCCATCAAGTTCATTCGGACTCACAGTGGCCCTGTGTCGTGTTTCCCCGAGCAGCCAGCCTCATCTCCCTCCTGTGGCTGGCAGTCCAACGCCGAGCCAACCGTTCATGCCACCAGGGCTCCTTCCTCGGGTGGACAGAGACCGTTTTGGTGACGTGGGCGGCACGGGGCCAGCTGCGTTACCTGTGAGATCCTTTTCTCGAAACTGAATCATGTGGAGAACCATCGTGTCTGCCAGCTGCTGAGCCAGCTCTGTGTGGAGGACGTTGAGCTGAAAGAGAGAGAAACCTTGTGAAGTAAATCGCATAGGTTACTACTGCCTGGCGCCATCGTGTTTGGGCCAGGATCACGCTGACACGTTTGTGTGGTTAGAACACCTCCTTAGCAAATACATACTGCTTCGTAAAGCGGTAAGCGAAGCAGGTCGGAGGGCATCGATTCAGCCCACCCACGGTTGCTCTCTGTTGACCCTGCAACCCCTAGCTCTGTGACCCCAGCCTGAGCCATGCCCAGCCTGCAGAGCTCTGTGTCTGAGTGAGCACAGCGCTCAACTCGGGCCCTCCCAGCACCTGCTGAGCCTACTGAGCCTGATGCCGCGCTGGCTGGGGACCTGGAACAGCGCTGGAGGGAGAACACAACTCAGCCACATCCGGGGCTACTGCTCTTCAGAAAAGGACCTTTCTCAAGGCAGTAAGGTAACTATGCAATTTGCCCTCACGGGGTAGTTTTAACAGCTCTTAATGGTCTCTCCTTCTAAAAAGGCTTGCTAATGGCTGTGGCTGCCTTTATAAATGGTCTCACAGCAACCCTCCCCAACAGAGGAGAACCGCTCCACAGGGTTTCTCAGGGAACAGACGTGCCTCATCTTTCTCTCGCGGAGCAGCTGCTGAGCCGGAAACACTGACCTCCCAGTTCGCAGCCTGGACACATAGCCCGTGACCCCACCAGGACTCTCACCCCCTGGCCCAAGAGGAACATGAACTGCAGTTTCCGGGCACTTGTATCACCCAGTTCTTGCCACTCTGAGTTGGGCCTCACTATCCTCCATTCGCGGACGAGATGCGCTCCGTCTCGTCATCTGTCTGGCAGCCCGATGCCGTTCACAGAGGACGAACGGTACACACTGCAGGAGTGACAAGCTTCCCAGCCACTCATCCTTCCTGAGGACCCGGATGTTTGTGTCATCAATGAGATGTGGAGTCTGACCTGTCTGACCTCTCAAGGGGGAAAGAAGGAACAGCCCCACCAGTATCGCCCTCGGCAGAGTCCCACGAGGAAGAGGTCAGCTATAACTCCCCTCTTTCTCACCCTATTCTATTCTGACATCAAAGAACCCCCCTACAGTGCACTACTTCTCTGCTGGGTTTGCTAACCACGATTATGGATTTATTAAAGGAGTTAGCAGGGTACAATTCAGGATCAGCTACGGTCCGGATACGGTTCTTGGACCTGGAGTGTTTTGTTTTTGTCCCGCCACTCCCCGTCAGCTCTGCCAGCACTCCCATCTCTCTCTGGGCCTCAGAATCACAGCCATGTGGTACCTTGGCCTCTGCCTGCTCAGGCAAGGGTTACAGATCTCCTTTAGCACTGCTGACACATACTCAAAGGGCACGCCGCTCTGCCACACGCCTTAGCTTGAAAGGAGCTTGGTTCCAGCTCCAGAGCAGCAATCCTAGCTCCCCAAATGAAGTGCCTGGAGATCCACCAGCTCTGCCAGCAAGCCTTCTTCCTGAAGGAACTCGAGTTTACTTCCATGGGCCAGGAAGCCGTGCTCTGCACATCTGCTCTGATCCTACTGCCTTTGCGGCTTCTCTGGGATCACCCCGCCCTGGCTCATAGATCAAAGAGGTTTAGCGCGAGGATCTTAGGATCCAAAAAGGACGCACTTCAGTCCTGGCTCTTCTTCCTTTTTAAAAATGTTTATTGTTCAAACTAGTCTTTTTTTATTAATTGGGAGTAACACATATATCATTTTATAGTTTAATCCCGCCCAGCAGAATTGTACATTCCATCGCTGCTTCTGAGACTGATCATTTTATGGGATGGCCAAACCGTTCGAGTACTACATGCCCAAGTTGCATGGTCCCACCGAGTCACATGGTGGGTGTTCCAATGACCACAGCTAGGAGAGCCCCAATTCACAGCACCACAGCAGGACCATCGCTTCGGAAGCACTGCTCTGTCGCCGAGCAGAGTGTAAGCGCACACACCACCCTTCAAAGCTGCATGGCTGCTAACATGGGGCCACACCATCTTCCCTGGATGGTGACTGTGAGGTAACACAGTAACATGGCAGCACCCCTTGGCTGGCACCCACCTGGCACTCAGGAGATGGAATCTGTAGGAGAGTCACTCCCTGACTCAGCGGGCCCCCAAGGACTAATCTGGAACCTTGTGCCGAGGAAATCACAGGGTCAGCAGTCTCCCCGTGCCTTGCAACATGCCAGCCCAACTCCTAGGTCTCCTTTCACATACGAGCCACGGCCACACAAGGCTGACTTTTAGTTGGGATTTTCGTCTTTCATTCCTGGGTCAAATTTCTTCCTTTGAAAAAATTTCCAACCTGGTATAGGCCCAGGATAGTGAAAACCACCTTAGTAGCTTCCCTCCTCTGTCTGGTTCTGGACCTGGCTGGACTCCCGGCTGCCACAGCGTTGGGTCTCAGGAAGCTTATTTAGAAGCACCCTGGCCCGCCCCCTGAGGGGGGGGGGGCGACACTTGTCATCAGTCACTGTCCAGGTGGCTCTGGTTCATGGCAACCCCGCTTATTGGAACAAAACTCGGCCAGCTCCTGCACCATCTTCATCTTCCCCGGCCTGCCTGAGCTCATGATTCGGTCTCGTGTCAATCCATTTCATGAGGGGTTCACTAGGTGGCCTTTATGTGTATCCACCCCCATTCCCTAGCTTTCACTGGCCCTCTGCTGTACCGTGCAGTATGACCTTCTTCAGCGATCGGCCGAGCTGGATGACATATCCCGAGCAGGCAGGCCAAAGCCTTTAAGAGCACTTTGTGATCTGGTTTTTGAGAAATAGGTCACCGGGCCTTTCTTCTGAGTCTGAGTCTGGAGTTTCTGCTGAAACTCGGCCTCATTATGGGTGACCTGACTAGTGTTTGATATACACCTGATTAGTGTTTGATATACACCTGATTGGTACAGCTTCCATCACCATAGCCATATTCAGGCCACCACAGTATGGCAAACTGACAGCTGAACAGTGGGATTATCAAACCATACAAACACTGGCATCAAGTCGGTGCTGACTCATGGTGACCCTATAGGACAGGGTCGAACTGCACTCACGGGTTTCTGAGACTGTAACTTTTTATGGGAGTAGAAAGCCCCATCTTTCTCAGTTAGAGTAGCTGGTGGTTTCGAACTGCTGACCTTGAGGTTAGCAGCCCAATGCATAACCATTACACCATAGAGGGCTCCTTTATACTCCCTATAAAATCTTCCATCCTTTGGGAATGATTCAACCCCGACCAAAGAATGATCATTCCTGCCCATGAAAATGTGGTGTTGAGTCAATATTTTAAACTAGAAATCCTGGTTCTGGGGTTTCAGCCGCTAAGCAACCACCTGTCCTTAGCAGCTCTCTTCTGGGTCAGGAAATCATCTGACTTCAGAGGGGGTGGCCTCTCCCTTCTCCCCACTGGGTTGTTTGTTCACTGTTAAGTAAGAAAAATGCCTCTCCACCCTCTCCAAAACAAAACAAAAGAAAAAAGTTCACCTTTTGGCCCTCTCTGATGGCATCGCTTAGTCACTCTTCTGCTCAGCTGGACTGGTATCCACCCATGTCAACACACATCTTAAAGAGAGCTGCAGCAGTGGGGCCTGGAACCAGACAGCTGGTTCACTGACACATCTCTGGGGCCTGAAGCAGCATCAGCTGGCCAGCAGTCAGTAAATACTTGTGAAATCAACAATGGCTTGGCTCAGCTCAGTGGTTGAATGAATGAATGAACATGCAGGCAGCGCAGTTATAAGGAAGCTTCTGATTTTCCAAACTAAAGACTGTCTGCTTCACATCAGTGGCTATACACCTGAGTGGTATCTGCACTCTCTCTTTTCTGTTTGTTCTTGATCATGATTTTCCATTTTAATCACAGCAAACTCTGTAAACGATGGCACCGTGTATAGCTGCCACATTTTGCAGAGCGTTCTTGAGAAACAAGCAGCTTTGAGCAGGCACACACACATGCATAAACGGCCCCCACCAAAAAACCCCCGAGTTTTTTCCCCCAAAAGCTATATATTTATTTATTCATTTTTTTAACAAAACAACCATATCACCTTCAAAGTACTCTCCATTACACTTAATACATTTCTCAAATATGTGATCCCATTCTTGGAAGCATTTTTCAAACTCATCTGTTTAGGCGGCTGACAGCGCCTCCCTCGTTCTTTCTTCACCTCGTCTACGTCATCAATTGCTGTTCTTTCACGTCCCTCTTTACTCAAGGAAACAAAAAGAAGTTGCATGGAGTGAAGTCAGGTGAGTAAGGTGTGTGGGCTAAGAGAGGCATGCTGTTTTTTGTTGCCAAAAACTGGCGCACTGAGATGGCTGTGTGACCAGGTGCATTGTCGTGGTGGCAAAACCAATTTCCCCTCTGCCACAAACCAGGCCTTTTTGTTGCACACTGTTACACAATCTTTTCAGAACCTCTAAATAGAAAGCCTGACTAACAGTCTGACCTGGTGCAATGAAATCCAAATATATTATCAGTCGACATTTTCATGTTTGGGAAATTGACAGATGTCCAGAACGAGGTTTGTCATCAATTGACATTTCACCTTTTTTGAAACGAGAAATCCACTCGTACGCTTGAGTTTTTCCCATAGCGCTGTCCCTGTAAGGTGTGTTCAACATCACAACAGTTTCTGTGGCATTTTCTCCAGCAGCGAACAACATTTCACAGCCACACACTGTTCTCTTAAATTGGCCACCTTATTTTAAGTAAAATTGCTTTTATGAAAAAATTCACTGTGACCAGAGAGAACCTTCCCAGGCAATGCCACTAGGTGCAACCAACTAACCTGAGGTGCTCGATGCTCCTCTAGCGGGAAAACTGCGTAACACGAAAACTCTGCCCAGTAGAGCTCTGTGCCAGCTCTTATACATATACACACATATACATATTACAATAAAGATGATATACCTCTCTTAAAATAATACCCACGTGTTCACAGACATTCCAATGTACCGGACAACACAGCGAGAAGAACAGGTGTATAAAAGTCTCCTTGGAAAACTACTGTCTAAGGAATCTTTCTTCTGCTCTACTGTCTACACACACGAAAGCCACTCCCTTAAAGCTAGAAATAAACAGCAGTACACAGCCTGCTTCTGAAATGAACTTAGAAGCTGAGACCTCAGCTGTCTAAGTGGATACCTGTGTAGGGAGAAAGTGAGCCGAAATACAGGTGAACGAGGAACAAGAAGGAATTAAAGAAAAATCTGCCATGTGGCAATCTTACCTCATCCACCACTTTGGAAAAATAGTGGAGCGTAGAAATCACTTCTTCATCTCCTTTGCCAAGGGCAAAATTCTAAAGGCAAACGATGAGAGCCAGGTGTGATCGGAATGTCAGCCAGGTGTCGGCACAGCCTCACGGTACTCTGCCCCTCACACCAGCTTCCTTCTCTCTCTGCAGGGTACCCATGTCAAAAGTGGTTTTTTGAGAGACATAGGGCACTCTCCTGTCCTGCCCCAGCAAGGCCCTCCAGTCTCTCACTGGCCACCATCTTTCTGCTTGGACATAGTAGTCTCTTGATCTAAGCATGTATTTCCCAGAGTTATTTAGGGGTGATTCGGTTGTGGTCCTCGAAGACTATGAACCCTCAAAGGGGCAGCTGATTACTTCTGTGGGCCAATTAGAACATAGAGGGGCTTCAAAGGGTTTGTAGAAAGACTAGACCTAAAAGATACTGGACTTCTTCCATGACCTTTTTGAAACCCCCTCGTAGCTCATGAAGATTTGGGGATGATCTCCAGTTAGAATTTATCAGGCTAAAGGGAAGAAAAGACAAAAGAAAGGAATGTGGGAGTGTGGAGAAGCTTCTAACAGATGCCAGTGGAGAGGCCCTTTGAGAGAACAACTTTACATAAAATGTAAAGTTGTAAAAGAGACCAGAAACAGAAGGGACCCCCGAGACCATGCGTCGTCACCCTTCAGGTGTGGAATGGAACGCACCCTTGGGTTGAAGATCATTGAAGATCAGAAGGGCAGTATCTCAAGGACAAAGTTCACAGCTTAGGAAAGGAGGAGGAATTGCCCCAGGAAGCGGGGAGGAAGCAGGGGAAGAGAGGGTACAAGGAGGGCACTGTGATGGATGTGTCGGAACAAGATGTGTAGGAACTGCTGCGTGCCCTACTGACTCTGCTCTGTGCACCGTCTCCTAATCACAGTAAGTTACCTTCCCCCGCTCCCTAGCCCCCCCTCCAAATTCCATGCAAGAAAGTCCTGAGCACAGCAGCATAGAGCACCCATCAACTTAACTTACCTGTTTTTCATATGCCAGCAGTTGTTTAGAAAGCTGTTGAGTGGCCAGGCACATCTCATTCTGTAAACAGAAAATAAGTTTGTCCTGTGTATATGAAGTCATAAAAAAGGGAGGGGGGGGGAAGCCATCTCTGAGAATCTCTTAAAAAATGACTAAGTGTGGAAAATACTCTGTTCAAAAATTATCAGGAAACAAATGAAAGGGCTAACACGTGTTGTCTTGTCTTAAATGGTAGACTAATTCTGCTCCTTCTGGTCACAGGCGCAGTCAAGAGTGTGCTGGGTGAGCACAAGGGGCCGGACGCTGTGCAGTCAGGTTTGGGGAGACCAACAAAGGCCTGAACTCCGCCCTCACAGGGCTGACTGAGGGAGCGGCGTCAAACAATGCAAAGGCGAAGGAAACGGAGGGGTGCAGAGGTGAGACGCAGCTGGCAGTGCTGGCGGAGACCAGAGCAGGGAGGACCCCCTGCCCAGGATGTAGACCTTCCTCATGTGATGGTAACCCCCCAACCATAAAATTATTTTCGTTGCTACTTCATCACTGTCATGTTGCTACTGTTATGAATTGGGCAACTCCTGTAAAGGGGTCGTGACCCACAGGTTGAGAACCGCTGCTTTAGACCATTTTAAGTAGCACCTGGATCTGCTTGGGTCTGCATGGAGCTCCAGGTTGGGACACCGCTGACCCCAACTTTCCCAGAAAACCAAGGAAAGGACTGCCTGTAAGAGCTGCAGTACTTTTTTTGTGCCCCCTTTTCACTACCCAAGACCATCAATTTGCTCTCTTCTTATTGGATGTGCAAAGGCCAGGTGGCTGGCTGCTAACTGAGGGAGTGGTGCTTTGAAACCCCCCACTGGCTCTGTGGGAAGGTTTGGTGAGCCCGGTCTACACCGATGGCAGCCAAGAAAAGCTCCCAGGGAAGTTCCCTCTGTGGGGTGGGCTCCCTAGGAGTTGGAATCCACTCCATCGTGTCCAGAGATAATCTGTGACTACACAGTCCCTTTCTAGCACTCTCCTCCAGCTACCAGGGCAGCCCGGCCTAGAAGATGCGCCTTATGTTTCTAAAGCTTAGTTCAAGCAGATCGTCAGGTGAGCGTTATTCAGAAATAGACTTATTCTTAAGAAAGGGGCAGACACCACTGGCAGGCAGGAGGGGCAGTGTGGCTCAGGGAAGTATATAAAGGGCTTGTATTAGTCTGGGTACTTTGGAGAAACAAATCCACAGTGACTCATGTATAAGAGAGAGTTTTATACAAAGAAAATGTGCATCACGAAAACATCCTAACCCAATGCTCCCCAAGCCCACAAGTCCAACATTAACCCACACCCAACACCAGTCCACAAAGTCCTTCACCTCACAAAACAGAGGCAATAATGCCGACTGCAGGAGGAAAGCTGAGTCAGTGAACGAACAAGCATCTCAGCACTAGCAGGTATCTCCACAAGGCTGCTCCAGCACCCAGGGCTGCATCGGGATAGATCCATGCGGCTTCTCCTTGGGGATGTCTTGTAGGAAGTCAATCTTGCAAGCTGAAGCAGGGAACTGCTAAGGCAGCTGCACCCGATACAACCATCACAAAACAAGAGACCCGAGAACTAGAAAGGCGAGGCTTCACCACCCATTTATCCCTCCGCCTTTCAACCAGCACCACATGTGATTATCGGCCAGGCTGGCACAATTAACTAACTCAGGGCTCTTCCTAGTAACTCTCCCCAAAGGACTAGGGAGTCTGGGTAAGGGAAGATGCTGATGAGATGCGATGATGCAGTTGGGTGTGACTGTTACAGGTTGGCTGTGATTGTTCAAACTTGACAATCTAACGAGGGGCTTGGTCAGTTTTGCCGTCTTCCTGGGTTTAAAGTGCACTATCCCGGAATCAACATCAAATCCAATAGAGACGGACAGAGTGCTGAGGGAGGAACCGTTGGAGTGAGAATTGGTTTAGAAGGCTGGAGGGTGACCCAGAGGAGTCAGAGTCTCGTCCCCCTTGTAAAGCCGGAGGTCAGAAACTGCCCACACCATTTTTGCAAGCAGGCACTGGCCTCTATCTTCTGCGCCTAGGCCTCCCCACCAGCCCTCTCCTCCTGGGTCAATACTGAACTCCATGGGGAGTTCCTTTCAGGACCCATCATAACCCAATCCCACGACTTTGAGGCCTTTTTTAAAAGATAATTTTTCAACCTATGACCTGACTTCCTCCCTTTGCCCCCCAAGAAGAGGCATTAACAGACCACGAGGGTCTGGCTCTCAGCCTTCTTTCTTCTTCTTGAGTAAAGTCAGGCACTGGTGGGCCCTGAACGTCCCTGGGGGTGACATCCCCCTGGCACTACCCTTTCCAGAACTAACCGTTCAAGGAGCGAGGGAGGGAGCAGATCCGCAAGCATGACACCCTTCGCTGAGACCGGAATCTGCCAACAGTTCCCAGCACACAGCCGTCACATGCTGAATAAATAAGTGAACGATGCTAGAAGGCTCATCAAAATTCCAGTTTAAAGTGCTGAAGGGGAAAAATCCTTCCTAGCACTACAAGGAAACACACAAATGGGGAACAATGAAGTGTGTGGGTGGGCAGGGATAAGGCCAATGACCTCCCTCGGCAGAGAACTGGTGTGAAGATAGATGGGTGTGCACAGGGAGAAGCGCCTTATCCCATTCGCTGGACCCATATTTTGCTGCATCTGGAAGCCTCTGGTTCCTCTTCCTTTCGTGGGAGCAGTGGGTTTAAGAGGCACGGTGCGGGCACTACGGCATTTGCCTGGAGGAGCCCCGCGTGGGATGTAAAATGCAGGCCCAGGAAGGGTGGTGACTCTGCAGGCAGCAGCTACCTGATGCAGCTCCTCCAAGTGGTCCCAAGCTGGTCTCTCAAGGAATTCTGACAACCCTGGGGGCTGGATCTACTATCAACTCAACTTTTCAGGCACAGAGAAGTTAAACCACCTGCCTGCCCCAGGTCACATAGCTAGCTAGTGGCAGGGCTGGATGAGTTTGGATCTGCTGAATTCTAAAATTCACTAGTCTTCCAAAGAGACAGGAGACAAGGTCTCTCTTCAGGTTGGATTTGGCCACCGTTGTGCAATGGGCTGGGCAATGCCTATTTTGGCCTTGTGGGTCACATGGTCTCTGTCACCACGACTCCCATCCACGGAGGCAGCCACCGCGCAAAACGGAAACACACGAGCATACCTTCCTTTCAATAAAACTTTATTTGCAAAAACAAGAGTCTGACCCCAGGGCCAGCGTCTGCCAACGTGGGGGTGGATGCTCAGAATGTCCTCTACCACACACCACCCAGCTCTGGAGGGTCACTGTCTAAACTACCTACTAATCCGGCTTGAGTCTTTTCTCCTCTCACTTCCTCCCCGCCCCACGCGCACCCTTAGTTGACCAGTCAATAGAAATGGCCATCACCCTGCAGGCCTCCGTGCCGGGTAGGGACCGCAGGCTGCTGGGACGTGCCCCTGTTCCAGCTCCCGGCTAGTACTGGGACACCTGCCAGGAGCGGCTGGCAGCAGGCTGTACCCAGGGTGCAAGGGGAGGGTGCCCTTGTGCCAGGCATGCCAACCACACGCTCACTCAGGGGTGAGAGGGTCACAGCATGAGTGTCTGCTTTCCGAACCATTTTCTGCCATCAGACCCTGCCGGGTCTCGCCTGGAAATGCCTCCTGTGGGGATTTTCGAGTGTGTGTGATTTCAGAGCGCGAAGCCAATTGCAATTCTGGTCTGTCGGTACAATTCCACTGGCAACCGGCCTGCCGCCCGCCCTGACAATCTGGACGGTGCATTATGGAAAACGCCTTTTGAACTAGGCTGGCTTCAGTCTTACTCACCTGTCATCTACCGTACAAAGGTTGTATGAACAAGCCTGACTCCCACTGGGTAATGAACCCACACCCTGGCAATTACCTCTGCAACGAGACCTGCTCAACTGGAGTTTGGCGGAAGTGTACCGATTAGGAATCGCACTACAGAGAGCTGCTAACACTTACTGAGTCTTTTCTGTGCTGGCCATGGCTGTTAGGCAGTTTTCATCCATGATCATGGTTAGTCTTTGCTATGCACCTGTGAGGTAGGTGCCGGCATGACCCCAACTTTATAGATGAGACTGAGGGTAGGGCATGAGAAAGCATTTCCTAAAATGATATACCCGGTGATGGGCAGAGCAAAGACTCACTCTGGTCTCAGTATGAAACACAAGTGCTTCCCACTAGGTCATTCTGATCCAAAATTGCACACTGGACCTAGCCAGTCCCCCGAGGGCAGGCCCTCCAGCACTTTTAGCTAGGCAGGGGGTTCCCACCCTTGTTAGCGAGCGTCCATCCAGCAAGAGGTGGCCTGAATTTCCACTCTCAATGGGCTTCCCTGGCTCTCTGGTCTCTCGAAGAGCCTGCTGGGGTCTGTTTATGCTGCTCGGTGTCTCCTGAGCACCCTTTGAAAGGGCCGTTGGACAAAAGGTTCGTTGACAATGCCTCCAGTGTTCTACAGAAACTCCCCAAACCGCGGCCAAGGCAGAAAGGCAGGTGGTTAGTAACCTGAAAGGAAAACAGAGTACTTGGCAGGGGATGTTTGATTTTGCCCTGGCACAGAGAGCTGGTGAGCTGCGAATGTCACCTGACCCCTGGGGAGTAAATGTCAATCTTATTTAGGGTATTTGGCCAGACACGGTGCCCCAAGCCAAGTGGATTTCAGTCCCTGTTGTCCCGTTCAGCACCCAGCTGGGGGCAGGGTCCCTGCTCTTGCTCAAGAGCATCTGGAGGCAGGACGCCTGCAGGGGCCCTGAGGGGGGTTGGGGGTGGTGGCAGGAACAAAGGCGAGGGTATGGGTGAGGACTCTGCCCACCTTTATTCTGGGGCCAGAGGAGGGGCCCTGAGGACACTGGACAGGGTGTGACAAGACCAGCCAGGGGGTGACGTAAAGCCACGGGAGGCTGTGTTAAACCACGGGAGGCTGTGTTGTCCATAGGTGTCACTGAATAGGTTCTGACACACAGTGCCCCGTGCCCCACGGAATGAGACACTGCCCTGTTCTGCACCACCCTCACAATGCTGCTGTGTGCGGGCCC